CGCGCGAGAGAGAACCTTTATGCAATTATGCTATACAATTCAATAAGCCTAAAAAAAGCTCTTGTATAAATAGTGGGGCAAATTCTCTTTCAAAACCAATATGGGACAAAAGCTTCACTTTTTCCCTTCATTTTTCCAACTCAAATGGATCTACTTTAGAAATATCCTCTAGAAAATGGCATAACCACTCAGCCTCTTCACAACATTTGTCCAAGGCTATCAGCTCAGGAATTAATTATGAACCGTAGCACGTTTGACATAGCCGTTTAGGAATTAATTATGATTAGTTTCAATTTATTATCTAAAACTTAACTTGGTGGCATCAAAATTATTCTGTTTGATTTGTTAGTTATGAGAGTTATTCATTTGAATTTTAAATTCAATTCTTAATGCGTTAGTACTAATGAATGTCATTCTCCTATAAAAATTGGGTCAAAGTACCTCCGAGGTCCTTGTACTATAGCGTTTTGTTCAATTTAGTTCTTAAATTTTTATTTAATTTAATTTAATCCATGTAAAAAGTGATATAATTAAGGACAATAGTTAACGGTGTTAATATTACCATTAACTTAAGTTACGTAGCGTTGACAATATTTATATTTCTACTCATATATTACTTTAATTTATAAATATTTAAAATTAGTTATTTTTACCACCAATATATTAAATTAGTATGTCTAAAATAAATAATTACAACCATGTTCCTAACGAGATTTAGACAATTGTCTTTAGTTTCAGCACTTTTTAAAGTAAAGGAACTAAATTGAACAAAATAAAAGTACAATGACTAAATTAAACAAAACACTATAATATAGGAACTTTATAGGTATTTTGACCTAAAAATTGTGTTAACAGAATATTTAAGAACTTTTGACACCCTCAAAATTATGATTTTCTTCATACGAAAATTCCCTCAATGCTCTCAAATTCTACCAATACTTCTGTATAACATTTGAAGTGCTCATTTGTTCAAGTTCGTTGAAAATGATATATTTGAGTGCTAAAATATACTCATTATAATCCATTGTTTCATAGGAAGTTGATGTTGCAACGTTCATAGCACTCTCAGTAGGAAGTGAATAAGGTTTAAGGAAAGCATGAATGATACATGCCTCGAATTTTGATTTACTATGACTGAAATATTTAGAAATAATTTTTTAATAAAATTTCTTTTTTCGGATAACAAAAAATAGTCAAAAGAAATTGGATGCATGATTTTAAATAGTTTGAGTTTTTAGTTGGAATTTTTTAAAGTTTAAGAACTTATTAATTACTTTTTTACTAATAGTTGGATCGAAGGGTCTATTTGATTATTTTCCTTACAATAATATGAAGAAAATAGTTACAATGTTGAAAAACACCTAATCTAATATTATAAATAAAAAGAAAATTTAATATTTGTTGTAAATAAAATTAATTATTTATAAAAATACCACGACATTTTTTTATTTGTATAATTAGTTTTAATGTCATTTTAATAATCAATATTGTATTTTCCTAAAGTGGTTTCCCATCCCTACACCCTACTGCAGGCGACACTTCCAAGCAAAATTTTATATTAGAGCGGCATTATCAATTGGGATATTAGAGGGAAGACGGTAAGAGTGATTAAGAAGGAGAAGATGAGAGGAGAAAGAACAAAAAAAAAAAAAAAAAAAAAAAAAAAAGCAAAATTAAATTTAAAATAATAATAATAACAATTAGCACTGTCAGGCGTGCCTGACGCGCCACCGAGCGCATGCACTTGATCATTTGTAGGAGGATTCTTTTTGAATTATCTCATTCTCGCATCAGCTTTGCTTTTCACTTGAGAGAATTAATTCTGACATCAACTCTCAAATCGACAACCGGAGGGACTAAATCGACTAAAAATAATTATTTTTTGTGGACTAAATTGATGAATAAGTAATTGAGGGGCTACATTGATAATTCGCTAATAATTAAGGGACCAAATTGTTCATTAACTCTTTTTTTTTTTAAGAAATAATGACATTTTTTAAAATAGAACATTAAACATAAACAAGTGAAAGGAGAAGTGTGGGAACGCCACTTTTTACCATCTGACATAAAAATCAAACAGTCTTCTGACTTTATTAGATTGTAATAAATGTATACTCTGAAGTTTAATCTCATGACCTCTTATATGAGAGAAGTCACTACATGCTATCTGAACACAAGGTGCTTAGCAGTGTTATATTTAATTAATTAGTCATAAAATGTGTTAAATATATTTGTGATAGATTGAGTCATACAATTCCTCAATTTGTCAATGAGGGACTAAACTCGCCACCGAGATAATAAATAATTGACTAAATCAAAATGTGAAGGTCTCAATAATTAAGAGGCAAAGTCAACTATAGTCCTATAATTAAGGGACTAAAAGCCTTATTTTCTCATTTTTAATATTTATTACTCATTTGGTCCCATGTTTTGTTTGTATTTTTGTGAATCATGTTATTTACAAATTAATTTTTCATAATATTTAATTTGTAATTAATATATAAAATTTATATATTTAAAAATTATATTAAAATAAACACACACAAAAATTAAGTTTAAAAAATAAAAAAAATACTAAATAAGATAACGAATAAGAAAAAATTGATTTGATCAATAAATAATTAAATAGTAATCTAGACAAGTAACGCTAGGCCAATTATGTCGCTCGACCACAAGATCTTTAACAAATTAACGCTAAAATTAGAATTACAACATATGGAGTATAATTTCATTTGTAATTCTATACACTATTAGGAAATTACAAATTAGATGCCATTAAATATGAAATGATAGCATATTTATCATTTTTATGAAATTAAATTACTGCCCCAATTCGATCTGTCTAAATTTGAGTTTGTTATGTATGTCATTTACAATCTTCTAATAATGCTAAGAAGGTTTTTTTTTTTTTTTTTTAATGATTTAGTATTTAATTAGAGATTATCATTTATTTTAATTGTAAAAAAAAATCTTTATTTTTGTATTTATTTTAAATTGAGGTGGTACCTTAGCTTATAATTAAATGATAGTGTATACATATCATATATCATACCAAATCATATCAGTGGTATATCAAATATTAGTTAATCCTATAAATAAACAAGTAAATGCATAAATGAAGATAAATTAATTAACTTATTGACTAACTTTTTTTTTGAATGTACTTATTGACTAACTTAAAATAAGTTTATAAGCTTTGTTTTGCTAGCAATCACATGGTGTTAATTAAGTTAAAATAAAAAGGAAGTATGAGTATGTTTGATATGTACAATTTTCTCTCCCTGTGTCCTAGGGTTTCCCTAATTTCCCCCCTGCGATCTAGGGTTATGGCGTACGTACATGCGAACAGCACCATTGAAGCAGCCTGCTCACCTCCGAATGACGTGCAAGAGATAATAACACACACGGCAGAGATCACGCTGGACGATGAAGAACAAGGTGTCCGGTTCGAAGATGAAGAACTCGGCATCCAAACCCTACCGGCGGCGAAGGAAACCTGGACCATTGTTGGCCGGTTTTTGATAGATCGGATCCTCAAGACCGAGGTGATGAAGCGTGTTATGGCTTCGGCTTGGAAGCCTCTGATGGGTATTGAGATAACGGATGTGCAGCCCAATTTGTTCTTGTTCACCTTCTTTGATGAGCCGGACATGAAGCGGGTTATGGATGAGGGTCCTTGGGCGTTTGAGAATGCGACGCTGCTATGCCAGGTCTTGAATGATGGTGAGGATCCGTTACAGGTTAGTCTTAATACTGTGGACTTATGGGTACAGGTTTCGGACATCCCCCAGGGATACCGTACGGTTAAAGTGTTGGAAAGAATTGGAGACTATGTTGGGGTGTTCTTGCGCTATGATGAACGAAATTTTGAGAGACAATGGACTTCCTTCTATAGAGTTAGAGTCACCCATGATGTCTCAAACCCCTTGAAGCGGGGGATGAAGATGATTCTGAGAGATGGGTCCTGGACATGGATTAATTTCAAATATGAACGCCTCCACATGTTTTGCTTTTTTGCGGACGAATGGGCCATACGGACAAATTTTGCTTACAAGCTCGCCGTTCGTTGTTGAGACCGGAACAATATCCGTTTGGGGCGTCGATGAGGGCGGGGGGTACAAATTCGGCCAAGGTGTTGGGGGAAAAATGGTTTCAACTAGGCCAAGAGAGGAGGCGTGAGATTGGCTATGGGAGTGGGAGAAGGGGAATGGCGGTGGGAGTTGGGGTTGGAAGGAGTGAACAAACTCGGGTGGAGGTGTCTCAACCTACGGCTCGGGTGGGTTCGGATATCGGCGGTGTGGGTGGGTTGGGCAGTGAGGGCGTTGGCGGTGAGGGGGTGGGGGTTCGGGTTGATCCGAAAAGAAGGAGGACGGAAATTGGGGAGGTGAGTGCTTTGAATTGGGACATGGTTGTTGATTCTGATTCTTTGATGGCGGGACCTGTGGATCAGGTCCGCCGGTCCCAATGAGTACCTTAAGTTGGAACTGTCGTGGCTTGGGTAATCCACAGACAGTTCGCGTGATTGAGGACATGGTGTCCTCCAAGAAACCCGACTTTGTATTTCTCATAGAAACCAAGGTTGACCGTGATCATGCGAGCGTCTTCGGGTTAAACTTGGTTTTGATGGACTTTTTTGTATTGACAGTTCTGGTTTGAGTGGTGGATTGGCTTTGTTGTGGAGAGAAAATAATACAGCGACATTGATTAGTTATTCCGCAAACTATGTGGATGTTGAGGTGACTATGCCGGGGTTTGAGAAGTGGAGAATGACTGGATTTTATGGCTTTTCGCAGAGGGGTCAGAGGAGAGACTCGTGGAATCTTATTCGTACCTTAGCTGGCAGATCAAATCTACCATGGGTGATGATTGGAGACTTTAATGATTTACTTTATCAATCTGAGAAGCGGGGGGGGGGGGGGGGCGGGGGGGGGGGGAACCCTCATCCTCTGAGTTTATTGCATGGATTCGGTGAGACTATAGAGGAATGTGGATTAGCGCAGATGCCAATGATGGGATATCCGTTTACCTGGGAAAAAGGAAAAGGCACACCGAATTGGATAGAGGAAAGGTTAGACAAGGTCTTGACTAGCCAAAGATGGCGGGAGATTGTGTCGGATGCTAGTGTGCAAAATATATTAACCCGAAAGTCCGATCATTCTGCTCTTTTCCTTGGGATTCTGAATCTTCGGGAAAGGACGGGTGGTCTGAGAAGAGGGTTTCGTTTTGAGATGGCATGGCTGCATGATGAAGGATGTAGGGATGTGGTGGAGAAGGCATGGAACGATGGCGCAGGAAGAGGGTTGCAGGAATGTATCTCTATTTGTGGACATCGTTTATCGCGTTGGGGAGGAGAGCATTTTCATAAGTTTGGTGAGCGGATCAGAAACCTGCGGAATGAACAGTTGCGTCTGAGGGGGTGTAATGATCCGGTCTCATTGGCTGAGTTCCAACGTTTGGAGGAGTGCCTATGTCGTATTGAGGCCCAGGAGGACACATACTAGAGGCAGAGAGCCAAGCAGCATTGGCTAAAGAACGCGGATGCTAACACGAAATACTACCACAGGTATGCATCTCATCGCAAGAAAAAGAATACTATTTTAAAAATTATGAATGGTAGTGGGGATTGGGTGGAGGGTGAAGCCATGAGGAACGTTATCTACGACTATTATAAGACTATCTTTACCTCCGACTCCCCAAGAGATAGTGGGGAATTCTTTGGAAATATAGCCTCTCGGGTATCACAAGTACAGAATGAGTTGCTCTTGCGGCCTTTTGATGCTAGTGAGGTAAAGAGTGCTTTATTTTCAATGTCTCCTGACAAAGCACCAGGACCGGATGGAATGAATCCGGGCTTCTACCAGCATTTTTGGGATATAGTGGGTGGTGATGTATCGGCCTATATTATGAATTGTCTTAATACTCGCTCGTTTCCAACTTGCCTGAATGATACAAATATAATATTGATCCCAAAGAAAAAAACCCCTGAGATGGTCTCGGATTATAGACCGATAGCTCTGAGTAACGTGGTGTACAGGATTATGGCTAAGGTTATAACTGCCAGGATGAAACCGCTTATGGGGGATATTATATCTGACACCCAAAGTGCTTTTATTTCTGACAGGCTAATAACGGATAATATTTTGATTGCTGCTGAGGTAGGACATTTTTTGAATAGAAAACAATGTGGAGTCACAGGGTGGGGGGCTTTGAAACTGGATATGGCTAAAGCCTATGACCAAGTGGAGTGGCCCTTCCTGCGTGGTATGATGTTAGCGTTGGGCTTTGATGAAAGGTGGGTGGATTTGATAATGCTGTGTGTGACCTCAATTTCATATAGTATACTGGTTAGTGGAACACGAAGTGACCAGATCGTCCCGACTCGTGGATTAAGGCAGGGTGACCCACTGTCACCTTATCTCTTTATTATTTGTGCTGAGGGACTTTCATTGTTACTACAGCAGGCACAATTGAGAGGAGATCTACACGGGTGCAGAGTAGCTAGGGGAGCCCCCCCTATATCTCACTTATTTTTTGCAGATGATAGCTTGCTCTTTTTTAGAGCAACTGCGCAGGAAGCCAATGTGGTGAAACAGTGTTTATCGGTGTATGAGGAAATGTCTGGGCAAGCAGTGAATTACTATAAGTCAAGTATTTGCTATAGTAAGAATACGCGGGATGAGCATAGAGAGGAGGTTGCCAGTATATTGGGAGTGGTTCAGGCTCCGAATTTTGGGAGGTAATTAGGACTCCCATCGTTTGTGGGCAGGAATAAGAGAGCAGTGTTCTCATATATTGATGATAAGGTAAGACAGCGGATTGGGTCCTGGAATAAGAAATTGCTTTCACAGGCGGGTAAGGAAGTATTGTTGAAAAGTGTGGCACAGTCTATGCCCACCTTTTCTATGAGTGTCTTTTTACTACCTATGAATACTTGCACAGCCATTGAGAGAGCTATGAATCGTTACTGGTGGAGATCTAAGGATGATCAGGGCATCCATTGGAAGGCATGGGATAAATTATGCATCCCTAAGAAGTATGGGGGATTGGGCTTTAAAGAATTGCATGCCTTTAATTTAGCTATGCTGGGGAAACAGGCCTGGCGTTTACTCACCAAACCTGAATCACTGGTTTCCAGAATATATAAAGCCAGGTACTATCCTAAAGGGACATTCTTTGATGCTTGTATAGGAAATAACCCAAGTTACTGCTGGCGTAGTATTATGGCTGCACAGGAATTAATTTGTGGGGGAGTCAGGCGCAGGATTGGGAATGGGAAAGGAACTCTTATCTGGGATCATCCATGGCTTCAGTATGAGAATAATGCGAAAATAATCACTGACAAACCACCATATTTGGCACAGGCAACTGTAATGGGATTAATAAATCAAGAAACGACGGCTTGGGACCAGGATATTTTGACTGATATTTTCATTCCGAAGGATGTGACACGGATATTGAAAATACCAGTGGCACCAGATTATGAGGATATGTGGTATTGGCATGGTGATATAACAGGTGAATATTCAGTTAAAAGCGGTTACAGGCAAATAGTGGGAAATTATGTACAGACGACAGGGATGTTTGATAAATGGCCCAAATTATGGAAGCTCAGAGTACCCCCGAGATGGAAAACATTTTTATGGAGAGCATTGAATAATATATTGCCCACAACAACGAACCTCATTATAAAGAGAGTGGAGATTAGCCCAGCATGTGCTATGTGTGGGATTATGCATGAGAATGTTATGCACTCTTTGGTTGAATGTGATTATACAAGGAACATTTGGGCACAATCTCGCCTTCCAATCCCCAGTACTATCACAGATATTTTCCATGTTTGGTTTAATGACATATTAAATATTCTAGATGATGATGGAATTATTTATGCAGTAGGCCTACTATACTATATATGGCGAGCGAGGAATGGAGCTGTGTGGGATGCATACTTGCCCAGACCACAAAAGATAATTGCAACTGTAACCGCAGCGATCCGGGCATGGCAAATAGCACACCCGGACCGCCCGATGCAGCAACGTGCTCCGCGTGGACTGGCCACGGCAATCCCCGAGCAGCACCAAAGTGCGGCATTGCAGCCTGGTACCGTTCTGCCCACACTCCTTGCGGCTGCCTCCATACGGAAGAGATGTTACTTTGACGCGGCCTTTTTCCAGGCCACAAGTAAGGCCGCTGTTGGGGCAATTTTCCTAGACGAACAGGGATCGTATATCACAGCTCTACAGGCGCCATTGATAGACTGTTTTTCCCCGCTTATGGCAGAAGCAATTGCATGTAAAGAAGTATTATCCTGGCTATGGGATCGTGGAGAGAGATCGGTAGACATACTAACGGACTGTTTGTCACTACAACAGTATTTATCGCAACCGAAGGAAACACCACGTTCGTACCTCGGCTATGCCATTGACACCTGCAGAAACCGGATGGTTTCCTTTGATTATGTTTCAGTTAATTATGTTCCTAGATCAGATAATTGTTTAGCACATATTTTAGCCACTTCGGCCTTTAATTATTCAGCACCTATGTACTCGGACAGTGGTCCGTCACACTCTATTTCAGCATATTTCCAATGAATGCCGCCCAGGCTCTTTTCAAAAAAAAAAAAAAGGAAGTATGAATTTAACATTATTATAATGAATATCTAATAATTTTTCTTAAAGTTTAGAGTTCAAATTTATAGATAAAGATAGATTAGGATAACTCCTATCTACACTAGATCTCAAGATTTTAAGATCTACTAATTTTGTCCTTCTTCACTTGCTAGCAGCAAAATGAAACTTTAATGAAAATGGCAAAAACTTGTGTGATCCTTGAGACAGGTCGCATTATATATAGATAATTGGGTGTGTAAGTATCATAATTTCAATTATAAGTATTGTAATATTTATTATTAGTAACAATCAAGTTGACCTTAAATAGTATCACAATCGCACATATAAGTATTACAATATTTATCATATCATAAGTATTAATTTATTTTTAAATCAAATTGCTATTAAATTTTCTACAACAAGTATTACAATTTCTTTCATAACTAACATTTCACATATAAGTATTACAATATTTATATAAGAATTACACTTTGTAAGTATCACAATTTTAATTATAAGTATTATAATATTTATCATTAGTAACAATCATTTTACCCTAAATAGTATTACAATTTCACATATAAATATTACAATATCTATTACAAGTAACATTTTATTTATTTCAATTTAGTATTAAATTTTTTTGTAATAATAAGTGTTAATGATTCCCATAAGTAACAAACAATTATCCTAGTTTCGACTCATTTCACGAATCACAATCCGTGAGACAGTCTCACACAAGTGTGACTCAATGAAAACAGTAGCACCTCACCATTTTTGTCATAGAAATTGGTGGAAGAGATAAATCACAAGATGTGTCAATTATTAGTGCCACACTCAATTAATTATATTATATTTAACAAAATAAAGTTATGTATGTTATAATACAATATTATAAATATATTATAAGAGTTAATTTCATTTTTTGTCTTAGATTTATAAATGTCAGTCTATTTTAGTCCGTTTTTTCAAAATATTTCTCTTTGGTTCTAGTTATTGTTGCATGACTATTTTTGGTTAACTTTCAACAAAATCTTTTAAATGACGTTAAATACAATGACATTTCAATCTATTTAGTTTTAAGTATTAATTCTTTTTCATTTTTTAGCCTCCTAAATTTATGTGTCATTTCACTTTTAGTTGTCCTTTTTTCAGAACATTCCCGTTTGTCTTAACATTTTTATCGCATGATGATTTTTTGTCCTACATCAATGCATATGTTTAATTGACATTAAATGGTGTTATTAACCACTCAAAGTCCTCTCTTTTTTCTTTTCTTCCTGGTAATAAAACTTTGCAAAGGTTCTACCTCTTCAAAAAATAACATGCATGCATTGTTCACACTTTCATTGATAGCATTAAATAATTCATTATTCATGCATATCATAATTGATCAAAAACTGTTACCTATTCATAAATCTATTGCAAAACTCAAAAAAAAAAAAAAAGTGTAATTAAAAAATCACAAGTCTACTTTATGACCAACTTTAAATCCAGTGTATAAGTCTATTTCATAAAAATCTACAAGATTACTTTACAATAATCCACAACTATATTTCAAAAAAAACATTTTAAATCAATCTATTGTTAGGGGGCTTCAGAGGTGTATGTTACTGGATTTTTATGAAGTAGACTTCAAGTTTGTCATGAAGTAGACTTGTCTTTTTTCAATTGTACTTTTTTGAGTTTTGCGGTAGACTTATGTATTGGTAACAACTTTTGCTTCATTATACTATGAATAAATTATGGATTATTTATGCTACCAATGAATGTATGATCAATGTATATGATTTTTGAAGATGTAGAACCTTTGTATTGTTCTATTACCAAGAAGAAGAAGAAAAAAAAAAAAGATTTTGAGTGGTTAATAACGTCATTTTTTTTCGGTTACAAGT